CGGCTGTTGCACTCGGACGCTAAGTGGTGGCTACGTACTAGTTAGGTGTAAGATCCGTGTCGATCTAGGGAATAGCATAATTATTGCTTTCACGGAAGCATAGTCATAACCCGACTTCCCGACTTGACTGGTCTGTCTAGTATAATCCAAGCATCCCTTGAAGATCTTCGGACGTACCACTCTCTATACGAACACACATACACCAAGAAAACTGACAGGTGGAGACATGGATGGAAGATCAGAAAGTCGGAGAGAAGAAGCACGTTGCACCGCGTAGCCTCTCGCAATCGACCGCGCTATATGAACTCAGACTATCTATATATTTACGCTCCGCCTTGAAGGAACAAAGTCGTGGCCCTAGCATTCTCTTATTCTTTGCTTAATCGCGGATCTAGGTGACGCAATCAAATGTGAATTCCGTACTATTAAGTGCGATAGCGGATTCATCTCAGTCGGTGATCGGAGACGGACGACTCGCTCACTTAGAGCCCTTTCCTTTTTGAATATCCACTCATCCGCATATTAGTTTCTCAATCAAGACAAACTCTTACTGCTCACTGAGTTCAACACCTCAAATTCAACAGCGCCGTCACGGGTGGACAAATATCCAATAACATGTTGCTCCGGTGAGTTAAACCAGAACAGCGAGTCTGTATTTGACCCTGCAGCCCATTTCATATCATATTTTCCATTCTCGTTCCTCTGAATAGGAATCCGGGCAATCAACGGATGATCCTGTGGGGACCACCATCGAATAGCAGGCAATGTATTCGTGATAGTGTTAATCAAGAGTTGTGGTGTTGAAGGATGCCAAGAAACCTGTCGAACGGGTTGCTCGTGAACTAGAGCCGATGCAAGTGTTGGTGTGCCCTCTAGTGACCAAATCCAAACGATATTCTGCCGTGCAGTGTCAACAGTTGCAAGCAGACGACCATCGGCGCTGAAGGTCATTGTCAAGACGCCCCGTGGCGGCCATGCCGACTCCGGGCTCATGCTCCAAGCAGATGAGCAAGATGCCTCTACATATTCAGCATCCCCTGTCGCACTGGTGTATCGCTCGCGCCAAATACTGGAACATTGCTGGTCTCTTTGGAAGACATGTGAGAGTGTAGTCGTGGAAGAGAACTACCGGAATAGGATTAGAAAACAATGCCGCACACATTTAGAAGACAACTTACAGTTCGAGTTCGAAGCAAGTCAATATTCCCGTTGACTTTACCCACGGCCAATATTTCAGAAATTCCCTGGTTGGTAGCAGGGCTCCATTCAATTTGTTTCACTCCGAGGTCGAAGGCATCGTCCACCCCAGATGGTCCGGAATACGTCCTGAAAAGTTGACCGTCCGCTGTGAATACCAAAACTTTTGTGCCTGCACTAGCGATATCCCAGATGGCAATCCATTTCCCATCCGGGCTCCATTTCAACCCTTGTGCATCAATGGTTTGAAGTACGGTCCTGTTGACGAGCTCGTAAGACCGTGGCTCATGGACGGTAAGTAGATCCGAAGTCTCGGGCTTCAGCAAAATGGCGAGTTCCCTAGTTTGTGGGCGATACCCAAAGCCGAAATGATGGGCAAACTTCGGTGTCTTAATGACTGAGCTGCGCCCGGTCTCTAATGAGTGCACACTAAGTTTGGTGTTCCACGCATGAAACACAAGAACTTCATTCTCATCAGCGCCAAAATCGACAGCTAATGACCCCGACTCGATGCTTTCGATCTCGGCGAATATTTCAAGGGGAGTGAGCTGCCAGACCGAGATCCGGCTGTCGTTTGCGGACAGGAGACGCCGCCGAGAGGCGCTCTCATCAGCTGATGCAACAGGAGACCTTTCCACGTTGAAGTATTTGAGTGATTTGAGTGGAATCTCTTTGATCCTTGCGATCTGTACTTCTTTGTTTTCCGAGGCTACATTCGAGTGAAGAACCAGGCCCTTCCCACTCACGTGGGCGGCATATAGCCCATCTTCCGACAAGCAGAGATTTAAAGGGGCTAACGCACAGTCAAAATTGGTTAGACAAATCGTTGCGTGGACTACTTATGGACTTACCTCCTGGTCCTGTTGACGCGTCCATTGTTGTGGTCGAGAGATGATACCTGTGAGTGTTCAAAAAAGAACTACGTCAAATTCCTGGTATCAACACATTAGCTTCAAAATATCAACAGTTGTTCACACGCCATAGCATATATGCATTGGAAGATGTATATTTTTTTGAGTCCCGATCCTTATTGCAAGACTTCAGGACTTACTTCCCTCAGTCTCTGGCCACAGGGCTGGGCATTCCTATCAGATTATGTAATCGATACGAATCCACGGGTCCAATCTGGAAGAGATCACCTAGGCAGTTGAGGTTGATCAAATTTGCTCTTGAAGTGGATAAGAGAAAAGGAACACGACAGGTTAATCTTAGAAATATGAGATGTAAGGTCAAATTTTCCACTAACACCCGTGGACCACTAGCTCAACGCGCTCGCAGCTTCCAATCTCAGGGCTAAGTTAATCCCCGCCACGATAAGATAAACCGGAGAATGGTAATTCCGGCTAAGATAAGGTGCTTTTCGCAAAAGTTGTTCCTCCATTGTGATGCGACTGGACGCGATCATTGACCATAACCGCCTTTTTTCCTTCCAAGCGTCAACATAGGTATCTTAAAGCCTTTCAGCCCTTTTCTGGGCCGATTTTCTCGACACCTTTCCAGGTCTCACCTCTCAAAAATGGCCTCCGAAACAAGCCCACCGAAGAGCGTTGAGAAGACCTCCGCGGCTGCGCCTCAGCCTAAGGAGAAGCTCTTTGGAAGAAAATTTTATGAAAGCATTGGCAGTCCAAAGTATGTCGTCGCCCCAATGGTCGACAGATCTGAATTCGTGAGTTCTCCTTCCAAATAGCAACATCTGCAGACCAACGTTAATGTTCCCCAAAGGCGTGGCGCATGCTCACTCGATCCTTCATGCCACCAAACGACCCGAAGCCTTTACTCGCATACACCCCGATGTTTCACGCACGTCTGTTTGGCGAACAAGAGAACGTCCGGACCAAACATTTCCAGCCTACCCGAAAAGCCGTCGGAGGTAGCCATGATGAATTGTTTCTTGATGGAAATCCTGCGATTGACCGCCCACTTTTCGTTCAGTTTTGCACAAATAATCCGGATGAGTTCTTGGAGGCTGCCCGCCATGTGGCACCTCACTGCGACGCCGTGGACCTGAACCTTGGGTGTCCGCAGGGCATCGCGAAAAAGGGACATTACGGAGCTTTCCTCCAAGAGGACTGGGACTTGATTTATAAACTTGTGAATCGGTTGCACACTGAGCTCCCCATCCCTGTAACTGTGAAATTCCGTATTCAAGAGACCAAGGAGAAGACCTTGGAGTACGCTAAAATGATCCTCTCCGCTGGAGCTAGCATCATCACTGTACATGGACGCAGGCGGGAACAGAAGGGTCACAACACTGGTATCGCAGACTGGAGCTACATACGCTATCTACGAGACAATCTACCCGCGGATACGGTGATTTTTGCCAATGGAAACATTCTTAACTACGGTGATATCGAAACCTGCCTCGAGGCGACTGGTGCCGACGCCGTGATGAGCGCAGAAGGAAATTTATCAGACCCGTCCATATTCAGCAAGCCACCTCCAGCCGGTACCGAAGGGAGAGAATACTGGCGCGGGCGGGATGGAAAGGGTGGTTACCGGATCGACGCCGTCCTACGACGATACCTTGATATTATCTATAAATACGTTCTTGAACAGCCGGTTCCAGAAAGGAAGCCGCTTTATCTCCCATCCGATCCAGTTGATGAGTTTGCAGAAACCAATGATGCCGAAAATAACGGCCATGAGGGCCCGCTCAAGAAAAAGCAAAAGCGCAGCAAGGCTGAGAAGGGCAAGAAGTGTCACTCTGCCAGCCTCGGTTTCATGCAGGGCCACCTCTTCCAAGTCTTGCGGCCCATGGTTGTAACCCATACCAACGTTCGAGATGCTCTTGCGACATCGAAACCGGGCGACATGGCAGCTTTTGAGCACACACTGGCTCTCCTCGAGGAAGCCATCAAAGGTGGACTTCAGGAGTACGAGGCCTCTCCCGAGAAGTTTGAAACCCAGCCTGATGAGACTTTGAAAGGATCTAAAGCAGTGATTGCGGAATATGGAAGGCCTTGGTGGATTTGCCAGCCTCATGTCCGTCCTCTTCCCGAAGAGGCATTTGAAATTGGAGCGATGCGTGAAAAGGGCACGAAGCCTCCCGCCAAGAATGCGAACGAAGAGAATAATACGCCTAAGGAGACCGACACTCCTTCTGAGGGCACTGTCACACCAGGCGACGGCGCTGATATCACTGCCACCAATCTCACCCCCGATCCTCTCGTGAGTGGGTAGGAATGTAAATATTCGATGCATTGGTTTATTTGCCTTCAGTTACCATTGACATAAATGTATAGAAACTTCCCAAGTTGGAGCCAGAGCCTTGTTTGCATAGCGTTGTTATTATGTTTAGAAGAATTCACATGAATATCTTTGGCTTCAAGTTCAAATCAATAAAATCACTATTTCTAGATTAAACAGTCTTCATCCACGTATAACCTAGGTGATAACCCCGGCTTCTCGGTCTCTAGATAGCACGTATACATGACTTTTGTTTTGGACTGAGGACAGACATCGTCCTAAATACGAATGTCCAGTTAAACTGGGATATTGACATCTCGTCGGATGCTAGCCCCTGTACTCTTGCGAGGCTAATAATCCCCAAAGTGTTACCTAGTAGTCGTATGTGTCCAGCACAGGGCCGGGGGGGGGGGGGCTGCTCTCTGAACATTTCTCATTCCTAATGGAGAGAGGCACAGCACACCTCGGCAAGTTATGTGTGAGGTGTCTCATGCCTACTGCGAACAACTCACTTGCTCAATACTGTTGTTAACCTCGCCAACCAATCTCTCCGACGAGATTGTCATTTCTGTCTCTCACTACCCATTCTGAGTGCGCAGCCACTCTTTCCACCAAAAATGCAGTCTTCTCCACAATGCGTCGGTAAGTCTGCATTACATTTTCTATTTCGATTCTCTAACCCAACACAATCTCTAGCATGGCCGAACGCAGATCCTGCGTTGACACAGGAACTCTTAGACTTGCTGCAACAAGCCATGCATTACAATCAGGTCAAGAAGGGTGCGACCAAGGTATTTCATTACGTGATCCTTCCTTTGAGTTACCCATAGAGCTAATATCAGCCTAGTCACGAAGTCCCTGACTCGAGGCAAGCCTGAGACGGTCATTCTCGCTGCCGACACTGTTCCTCTCGCGATACTGATGCATCTCCCATTGGTTTGCGAAGACAAGAACGTCCCATACGTGTTTTTGCCTAACAAACACGCTATTGGCCGAGCATGCGGTGTGACCCGGCCGATTATCGCGGCCAGTGTCAACTCGAACGATGCTAGTGACCTGGCTCCACTGATTGAGCGGATTCGGGACAAGGTGGACCGGCTTGCAATGTAATGGATTGTTGTGAAGCAGATAAAAGGCGGGTGTATCTTTTACTGCTGGGTTGTGGAGATCTTTTGCATCTTGCTTTGCGAGATGGGTATTGGCCTCGCTCCCTAAGCGACGTCTGATTTCCTTTTCCTGTTTATCGCCCTTTCAAAGACATAGGACTGAATGCGATATTCTCATCTATTACCAGTGATAACTTCACTGTTTTCGAGATCAACCGTAAACCACATCTATATCTTGTTATGATAGACGGGCTGAATAGAGATACCCCCATATCACTCCCCAGGGATCATGTAAATCATGAATATCGATAGCTCCACTGGGAAAGCCGTCTCTTCACTATCTGGCTCGACATGCGAACATCTGCATCTTAGAAGAGACCCCAAGTTCCCCTACACCTATTGTGGGAAGTTGTCCTTTCTACCAGCATGTGGAGTTGAGTTGCTAATTATGCGAATCTGCTAAACCATTTGGAACGGAGCAATTTTCAATACTAAGCGAAGGCCGCTGCAGAGAGTTAGATGGATATGGAACTTGGTTGCAATTGCACTAGACTGCTCATGCAAATAGCAATGAATAAATAAAATGATCAAGTGAGTCCGCGTCCATCCCGCACTATGAAGAAAATGAATCATTATGCACATATGCAGTTGATGCAGCGTACGGCCAGCCCATCAGCCCTGCGGTGTTGAATGTCTGACTTATACAAATCCAGGAAATCCAAGTCTTCTCGGCCTCAAGCCCGCTCAAATACAAAGATTAAGGTTCCATTCACACACGTAGCAATCACTGTGTGTCCGGCATGTGGATGACGCAAAACAACGTGGGTGAGAACATGTATTTGAGATTACAGAGCCTGGTCCCTCGCCACTTTTAGGTGCAACACCCTCGCTCTCTTCGTTACCGAGCTCACGGAGGAGGCCGTACAGCCGCATTGCTTCTTCGATTGAGGCATCTAGCTCCGAACACACAGCATCCAAGGCAACAGCTAGCACGGTGCCGTCATGATCGAGCATATACCAGCCGCCGTTTCTAGCGTCCACGGTGCTCAACGGTATTGATTTGCCATTTCATTGAGTTCTCGACGAGTTCCCAGCACATCCATTGATTCGGGGATCGGTACGGTGTATCGGGTTTTAGACATGGCGACAGTATTTGCAATGAGCAAGAGATTGAAGAAGAGAACGAAAGGGATAGATGACAATATGTCTATGATCTGATTCTGACGATATGTGGTTTTTGATCTAAATATTGATTGCACCAAATCATTTTCATTTGTCTGCAGGACTTTTAGGCCTAAAGGGCCCCGAATATGCATTCGTACCTAATGCTGGTGGATGGGTAATATGCTTGAACCTCTGCCGCCTAAGTTATCTGTAAATTTTGTAGAAAATGTAAGGGCCGGTTAGTACTTGAGGCTGCCGACTCCAGGCGTAGCCTTTTGAGTTGGATTGTTTTGCCTCATACCATGCGGTCACTATGTCTTCATCGGCATTTCCCCCTTAGCTTTTCACCCACTTGGTTACTTGGCCGAGAAACGGAAAAAAAAAAAAGAAAAGAAAAATTCATATCGGTCGAGTCCGACGAGATGTTGGAGAATGCAGAAGCAGCTAATGTCAAAACTCGTTTCCTGGTCTTTTCCGACACACACGGACTTGCTAGTCCACCAGACTTTGTCTTGCGCCAATATGCGGATGTCGCGATTCACTGCGGAGATCTCACTACAGAATCGAAGATCGACGAGTTCAAAGCCTCGATTTGTTTCCTGCAAGCCATGAATGCCCCTCTTAAACTTGTGATAGCCGGAAACCATGACTTCACTATGGACACCCCAATCTTCCAGAGGAAACTTGCAGAATCCCAGCCCTTGGACCCTCGATTAGTTCAAAAGGTCTATGGCAACTACGAAGAAGCTCGAGGGTTATTCAGCGAGAAAGAGACGGGCATCACTTTTCTAGATGAAGGTATCCACCATTTTCGCCTACAAAACGGTGCTCGATTGAACGTCTACGCCAGCCCATACACCCCTTCGCTTGGCGATTGGGGATTTCAGTATCATCCCCACCGCGGGCATGACTTTCGAATCGAGAATGTCGACGTCGTGATGACGCATGGGCCGCCAAAGGGTATCATGGATTACACAAACTCTGGCCAGCACGCCGGCTGCCCGCATCTTTTCAAGGCTATAGTTCGAGCCCGACATCGACCCCTGATGCATTGCTTTGGCCATATCCACGAAGGATGGGGTGGCAAGCTTGTCCGATGGCGCGACAAAGTCAGTCCAGAGCCTTCTCACCTGACTGATATCGATAACGAACAGTCTGTTCTCATATCCCGACTCTCCACTCTCCGAGGTAAAGGGAATCCCACAGAGTGCTCTACTACTAGTAATTGCTCGGAGTATTACAATCCGCTGAAACGGGGCTCTGAAACGCTTTTTATCAACGCCACCCTCGAGGGCTCCCAGGATCTTTTGATACAACCACCATGGCTTGTCGACCTTGATCTTCCTGCAGCGGCGTGAGAAAGTAGACTCACCTCTGCGCCTTTGGCATTGACTGTTCTGATTGATTGTGGCAGTTTTCCATGGCTCTGGGTATCCTGTTATTTACAATTTATGCTCCCACGTATACGGTCGATCTCACAGCATGGTAAGTAAGTCTTATACTAGCCCAAGGGTAACTGCTACTTGCAGCTCACAGTTGTCTAAGGAACACATCCACAAAAGCATCAGCCTCCCGTCCTCTTCCTGTAATATTGAGTATAACAGTATAACAACAAACCATCCAAAACCCCCAGGCAGCGTGTTCCAGCTCCACGCATATACTCCAGCTCTTCTATATTGAGCCCTGGAAGGATTTTCCCTGCTTTTATCAACTTCGATAACAGCCATCGAAGTCAGCAGCCTGACCATTGCTCCCACGTTCAACCACTGTCACGGCCCGCAATCTTAACAAGTCCGACATGGACGCAACAGAGCCCTCAAAGAATGGCCCTGCTACGTGGATGCGCTCTGCTTTTCGATAATGTCGATCCGGATGCGGATTCCTTGGCTAGCATCAAACGCGATTCTTGCCGTCTGGCTCGAAGAAAAGCCGGGGCAACCTTCCATCAATCCTTTACCGATGTCTTGAATGACATCTCTAGGTGCAGCGACATCAACATCCTCTGTATAGAATATAGAGTCGTGAGCGACGCTGGCAGCGCCTGCAACTAGCACGAGTTGAGGACGCAGTTCAGGACGGACTAGGCGTGCAGCTGCCCGAAAGCACTTGATGAGTGCGTTTCGTAGTGGTACAGAGATGGGAGTGGGCTTCGGCATGTGAAGCAATGGGGCCACAACAGTTGGACAGTGTCTCTAAGCACATTAAAAACTCAATCCCATTACCAAGTACAGCAGCTGAGAAGTGATGAGCTTACTGGAGTATATGGGGCAGGGAGCTGGGGGCTCCTGGAGGGAATTGGATTGCCGCCAAAATAATTGCTTCACTGGAGCACTTGCCATCCTCACCTAGACCTCAGTTGTGCTTTCCCTTTCCCTCACTTCGTATAGTGTTTACTTGCGGCAGGTTATTGTAACTACTAGTAGTACCTGCCTTCAGCGAGCCTGTGAGATGTAGTAACTCTTGAATATTAAGGAAAGGGCTACTCATATCCATCGAAGCCATACTCATATACATGTACATCTGAACGTACGTAAAACATAATAGTATGTATGTTGTACAGGATGAGAAAGCGATTACCTGGCTATAAATGAACGTGGTATTCTTAAGGACCGAAGGAGCGTAGCTATGAATTTCTCCAGCAGAACAAAACCTTTTCTCTCCATCCCATATTGCCAGTGTCCTCATGAGGTCGTAACAATCCATCAACATTCATTCTTCTTCTCGCCTTCATTCCCATTGGGAATGTCGGTGCAAGGCGCGGTGGACTTACTGTTGTCTAGGTGCACTTCGTTAGCACATGTCTCGAGATTCTGTATCAGATACATCAACGGATGAAAGCGCACAAAGGATCCTACATCCTGGGGCGACAGCTCAATTTCACCAATATGGCTATCCAAAAATGAACCGGAGGATTGACCACCTTGGTCATTTTCGTGGCGGGCTTGCTCGCTCTGTCTTCTTCCGCTGATTAGCCCTCAGTGCAATCCAAAGGTTGAGTAGTGAACAATAATCGAGTGAATCCAATACAATCTGCAATGCAAGCTCCGTCGTAGGGGAATTGAAACGAAGGCATCACTGGACATCTCGATATGGAGACCGGAAGACTTACTCCGCAGCTTGAATTTTTTACCACCTCTCTTCTCCCGCCGAGCCTTCTTCTTCTTGTCCGTTTACTTTTACCAAGGACGGAAGCCAGTATGTTGAACCGGACTCGCAGCGCATTGAGGATATTACTCACGTTGTAATAACTGGCCATGGCCCGCATGGCAAAAGGAGTACGCCGGGTGTAATGGGCAAAATATCTGCACTCTTCGAGGGTGTGGCCACCCAAGTCACAATTCGTACGCCATTGCTAGTATCCTGGTTAGTATCCATGTCTTTCATTGGTCCTGTCTTGCATACGCTTGGGTAGATGATGAACGGGTACGCAAAGCATGTAAAGGAAAAGCTGCGGCGCGCCTGGTAGATACACCACTGGGACAGCCCTCGAGGCAGCAGGAATTGTAGGTAAGAGAAGGACAAGTTTTACACGAGGTATTATGGTGAGATCTTTTCAGTACAACCAATATCAACGATGAAAGGCAATGGGTTGGGTCGGATGGTCTGATGGATGGGGATGATGCAGAGAGGACACAGCCATCGATAACAAGACTTACTGCAGCGCGTTTCTTAACTTCGGCCATATTGAGGATGACAATGATTCTTTCGTTTGGGATTTGCAAGGTTGAGATAAAAAGAAAGCAGACAGCTGTATCAGAGTCGGGTGGGGGAAAAGAGAGGAAGAGCAGAAGAGAAGGAAACTCAGAGCAGGGAAATGGTCATGGTCCTGATGTCATTAGAGCCTTACCTACCTAGGTAGTTATCAAATCTCAATCTTAGAAGTATAAATTAAATACTGAGCTTAGCATTCGTCTTCTTTAACGTTTCTTGATGTCTATTCTGTCGACCTCTTCCATATCGCCTTCCGCCTTTCACCACGAAAATAAAACATGCAAAGCAAGGACCGAAGTTGTAACTGTTGAGGCCACTACGAAACTGAGCGACGGTAAAAATCAAGAAGAAGAAGAAGCTCTTGCATTTAAACTAGCTAAAGGAAGCCCTTTTATAAAGGCCACAAAGAGCAAAAAAGAAAGGCTCAGTCTGGAAAACCAGCGTGCATACATAGGGGATGGGATCATCCAACAGTAACTATCAGCTTCCATCCCAATCTAGAGATAGCCACCTTAATGTGTACATATCCTATAATCAATGGCAAAGACTTAGTATCCTCAACAGTCCATCTTGGTCATTGGTCACAAGCAGCCTCGCACTTTGACATCATCCTCTCAGAGACCTCTTTTAACAGGCCATAAGCCCTCGGAGGCTCTCTTCCCTCGTTACCATTACTCTCAAAGCGCCAACAACAATCTCTAGCGCCGCTCCATCAACGCACCAACCGGCCATGCGATACACAGAATCTAGCTGTCGCAACTACGCAGAATTTGCTTGCGCTCACCACCCCAATCGCCTCTCCATCGAAACGGCTTACGCCTACGTCCTTCTCTCTATTGACGAGCACAATTTTATCAGGAAAACAGGGACAGTGGAAGAATATCGTCGTAGTGATAGGCACCCGGGCTAATGATATTGCTGTGGTTCTGTACAGGCTAGGAAACAGGGCAGCGAACTCCGTGCTACAGCTTTCCGCGGTTCAAGAATCGCACAGGGAGATCAACATGCCGCGCCCGCAGATACTCCGCCACATTCTTCCCTAGGAAATCGACCGTGGTAGTTACACCGACGCCCCGGTCCAGCAGATTGCGAAACAGGAAATGCACGGCATGAAGGCTAGGCAACTCGAAGCGCTCAATCGCCAACTTCGCGTTCTCGCGGGCGTTTCCTCCCAACAGCTCTTGGGCCTTATCAGCAGACAGCAGCGCCCGCAGCCATTGGTACTCGTCACGGTGGCGCACCCAAAAGCCGCAGTTAGCGTCGGCACCCTTATCCCCAGAGCGTGCATGAACGATCCAGCCTAGCGGGCCACGAGTCGTTGGTCCAAAGTCGCGGGCAAGGTCGACGGGTCCGTCAATATGGGTGACGGGCTGCGAGGGTTGGCGTGACGGATATGTCCTGGTGTTTGCCGGTGGCGAGATATCGAGAGTCTGTGTGGATGCCGTCGGCTTCCAGGGCATGTGAACGCGGTGCTGGACCGCGGATTGTGGCAGCAAGGTGACATAGTACTCGAAAATGGCACGCGGAAATCCCTGGCGCATATCCAAGTGAAAAGTAGCGCCAGGGTAGCCTTGCATGATGTTATCAGTGATATGTTTTAGGAACCGTGTCGGTGCAAGGTCCTCTGCGTGTCGTGCCTGTACGACGATACGCAGCGGCACAGTAGCTCGATTCTGGTTGGGCGGGTCAGACAGAGCAGAGCCCAGTAAATCGAAATTGAGCGATGTATATCTATCCGAATAGGGTGATAACAATTGGCGGACCTGTGCCTCCAGCATGCGAGCTTTGGCCTCGATATCCAGACCGGTCAAAAACCACCACGCTTCTGCCTGGAACCCACCTCGCGCAGTGATACCAACCTTGGTGGTGGGTGGAGGAGGACCGGATCGAACCCCATGAACAGCGACACGATTGACGCCGCGCTGTGAGAAGTGTATACCATCGAGGACTGCTGTGACATCGGAGTTGTAGTACCAAGGTCCTTGTATTTCATATAGCAATTGGGATGTGCAAGTATCGACAGTTACCGCCCCGCCAGTGGCATGTGCCTGCTTGGTGATCACAACATCGCCTTCGGCAGATATCTCGGCGATAGGATATCCGATATTGGTCCAACCATCTCCATCTGCGTGCTCTAATGCTTTAAATCCAGTGAAATTGCCACCGCAGACATAGTTGCTACACTCAATCAGATGGCCTGCCACAAACGCATTCGCAAGCTTGTCAAGCTCGTCCCGCTGCCAGCCATGGTACCAATAAGCAGCTCCGATGACCGGCGAAGCATCCGAGACCCGTCCACATAATACAATGTCCGCACCGTCTGCGAGTGCGGCCGCGATACCCAGGCCTCCAAGATAGCACTGGGCATATATGGGCTCGAACAACCAATCTGCCAATTTCTCGCCTGTGTACACGTTGCGAAATTCAGATCCGGAAGCCAATCCCTTCTGGACAGTAGATAGCACTTCGTCTCCGGAAACCCATGCAATCTGGACACCCAAATGACACCCAAATCAGCAATTGTTGATCAGTTTTGGGTAAGACGCCCACTGACCTTCAAGTCCAGTTTCTTTGCCTCAACCATACGCATGACCACCTCGTAGAGACCCTTTGTGTCAGTCACTCCAGCATTGACCGCGAGTTTAAT